TCCGGGCTTCCCCAAAGGGAGGACGGTAACACAGTTTAAAGCTTCCGTTCCCCTGTTCCGCAACACAGAATGGACATGGAAAGGCACTGCCTTCTGCTGGAGGTCAGACCTACTGGTGATACAGGGGACAGCCAGCCAGCAAGATTGAAAGCCCATCTCACAAATCCTGGTCTAGTGTCACCGCAGTCTCACTCTGTATGCTCAGAATCCATCTCGTTGACCTTTATTCCAGGGGCTCAATTTGAATGAAGAATAGAGGGGAGGAGGAAGTGTCAAAAAACAAAACAGAACAACAACAACAAAAAACAACTTCCCTTATCCCTCAAGGTGCTTGATATTTTTAATTTTAAGTCATTGGGTCCAAATCACCTGACCTGACATCACATCCCATTTTCTTCCTTGATCGTGCAGAACAAAATAGCCCTTAGCAATCATGGAGTCTGGAAATTCAAAAAGTCAGGGCGTGTGCCAGCCCCGTCATAGCAGGCCTGGGCCAGCACTGAAAGGGGACAATTAGAAATCTGGCTCTATGACCATGCCAGGAGCTGGCCATAGGCCACCCCCACAGCAGTGGTCGATGGGACCTTGACCCATAAAGGCTCCGAGGTGGTTCTGTGTGTGTCCCTCTGTTAGAGTGACCCTGAGGCCGTGTTCGCCATGACTCTGCCAGATGACCACCAAGCTCACTCCAGGGACCTCCTGTGGGTCTGCATAGCTTAGCGCTGGGGCCCCCAGTTGGGGCCCTTTGCTCGGGCGTCAGCGTCTCGTCTCCCTGGAGCCAGCAGACACACTCTTCCAGCACCCTGCAGCACGATAGGTAGTGTTGCCGAGTCTCCTATTTGGAGTCTCCTGGGGGTTTCTGACTGCTAACCAGAGGGCTGGCGGTTCAAACCCACCAGCCACTCCTCAGAAGGAAGACTGAGCAATCTACTTCTGTAGAGATACCGCCTCAGAAACCCAAGGAGGGGTTGCTATGAGTTGGATCCACTCGATGGCAGTGAGTTTGGTTTGGTTTTGGGTTTTGGTGGTGCAAATGGTTAACACACTCAGCTACTAACTGGAAAGTTGAAGGCTCAAGTCCACCCACGGACAGACACCACACAGGAAAGACCTAGAGCTCTATATTGGAAAAGTCAGCCATTGACAGCCCTGCAAGGCTCGGTTCTATTGTGACCCACGTGGGGGTGTATGAGTCAGAACTGACTTGGTGATGGTTCGTTTTTGTTCACTGATGCTGAGGGATGGTAGAGGTGATGAGGTGTAGCTGGGAGAAGAGAGCATAATGGACTGAGGTGATGTTGGAAGAGTAGGGGCAGTGACATCCATGTATATGAAATGGGGGTGGCTGTCCTACGGGCTAGGGCAGGAATGAAGAAACAACCTGGACAAAGAAGTGGAAATACGAAGAATACAGCCTGTTGTGGAAGATAATGAGACCCTTCTCACACAGCCAGGGCTTTGTGATAAGGGAGGAGTGGACGATGGATTGGTTGGGAAGGTCTGGGGGTCTGAATGCCACAGACAGCTTGTTCCATAGTCTTTAACAAAGAAGCAGTCATGGCAGTGTTCTGAGCTGGAGGCTGGCCTGTGGACGCGGCACGTTCCCTGGTGGCAGTGCCCAGGATTGAATGAAGAATAGAGGGGAGGAGCCAGTGTCAGCGAGAGGCCAGCTGGGACCCAGGACAGACGCTCAGGTGTGGGAGACCAGGAGCAGAGGGCAGGCCTGGCTGGACGTGGGCCCGGGAGGGACTGTTAAGCACAGCAGTCAAGGAGGCCCCTGCCCAGGCGCCATGCACCCTCAGCGTATTGGATGTTGGTTGCTGGTTTCTCTCTCCATGCAGTGGTCACACGTTGTTGCTCCAGAAAAGAGTTTTAGCCATATTTTTTTCTTTTTTCTTTTTTGGTTCAGTCCATCAAAAATGAATTGAGGATCCAGCATGAAGTCAGTCCAGCGTTTTGGGAGCCTTCTTATTTCACCTTGAGTAGTGTGTGCATCACCTTTGAAAAGACATGTGTGATCAACCCATTGCCCACTGGGCTTGGCCTCCTCTCTGGAAGCTATTGCTGTCATGCAGGCACAACTGGGGTCCCGGGAGCTGCAGGGTGACTGCTCTGCACCAGGGTGGTGAACATGAGGACATCAAACCTGGCCCTCCATGGCGGCCCCATGGGCCATACAGCCAGTGTGCCCCCTGCTGGGGAGGCAAGACTGTCACTGACAGAGCAGGCAGCGAAGATTCCGTCTTTGGTGGGAGGGTGTGTGCCAGGGGTCCCTGTGAATACCCTGGGTTCGATGATGCTCTAGAGGGATTTGTAGGCCTCAGTGTGTACTGCTCACAGCTATGATTTATTTCAGCAGAAGGACACAAAGCAAAACCAGCAAAGGGAAAAGATGCCTGGGACAGAGTACCACCAGGGGCAAGCTTCCAGAGCCCCCACCAGTGGAATCACAGGGAAAAACAAACAAACCAAACTCGCTGCTCTTGAGTTGATTCCGACACATAGTGACCCTATAGGACAGAATAGAACTGCCCCATAGGGTTGCCAAGGTGTAAGTGTTTAGGGAAGCAGACTGCCTTCCTCATCTTTCTCCCACAGAGCATCTGGTGAGTTTGAACTACTGACCTTTTGGCCAGCAGCTGATTGCTTTAACCACTGTGCTACCAGAGTTCCTGGAATCAAGTGGGACATAGCTTAATTCCTACAGAAACTACTACTTACAGCATGTGTGAAGGGTGGCCTACCAGGGAAGCTGACTACAGACTCAGCACCCAAGTTTCTTCCTGGAGGCTAGTCACGGAGGCACCCTCTGCCGGGTGCCTCCCAAGCTCCCAGACTCCCAGAAGGAAAGCAGGCACCCAGCATCAACCACACTGTTGTCCAAACAGTTGAGGCACAGTGTTCAACGCACGTCTTTTCAGGGAATGAGGAAAGCCTTCTGAAAGCCAAGTTCCCAGACTGGCCAAGGGCCCACCTTGCAAGGAGCCTTTCTGAGGACAGAAGCCCTGGGCCTAGTCTGTTACATTATCCTTTCACTTGTTGAAGGTATTGATGGAGACATTTTCCAAATCCAGGAGTCTGACGTTAAGAAGAGGCCATGACTCCAGAAGTGAGAGTTGAGATTGGGGCAGGGGAGAAGGACTGGTTGGGGAGTCTCAGAGCCTGAAGGCTGACACTGGCCTCGCATCCTCATGCAGGAGACGTGGACGGGAAGGAGAACTTGAGTGGTGCATGAGGGAAGCAAGTGAGCAGGGTGGTTCAGAAAGGAGGAAACACTCAATATATGTAAAATGCTGAGAAAAAAACAAACCCACTGCCGTAGAGTCGATTCCGATTCATAGCGACCCCCACTGGGTTTCCGAGGCAGTAAATCTTTATGGAAGTAGGTTGCCCAGTCTTGCTTCCATGGAGTGGCTGGTGGGTCTGAACCACCAGCCTTCTGGTTAGCAGTGAGATACCTTTGAGGGTAGTCAGGAATTAAGGGATTGCAGAGATGCCATTGGGATGTCTTATAATAATGGGTACATTTATTTTTGCACTTAAGATTACCTGTACATGTCCAGCAAGATTATTTTCAGCCAGGGCCTTGACTGGCTTTCCTGCCCATCACACCTTTCTGTTTCCTTTGGATCACTGTATGCAGCCCCATTTGAAAATACTTTGTTGCTGCTGCATTTATTTGGTTTGGTGTAGGCTGCACAGCCAGACAGAAGTGGATGACCTTTGGAGAGTGTCTTGTCTACCTCGTGCTGCTATGACAGAAATACCACAGTGGATGGCTTTAACATTCTCTCACAGTTTAGGAGGCTAGAGTCAAGGTGCCAGCTCTAGGGGAAGGCTTTCCCCCTCTCTGTCAGCTCTGGGGAAAGGTCCTTACCTCCTTTCAGCATCTGTAGGCTCCTTGTCCCTTGGAGATCTGTGTGAGTCTTGTCACCAAATCCCCCTGGCTCTAGGAGGTTCCCAGCACAGGGACCCTGGATCTAAAAGACATGCTCAACTCATAGCTCTTCTTTCTTGGTGATACTGAGGTCCCTCAATCTCTGCTCGCTTGGTTAATCTCTTTTATATCTCAAAAGAGATAGACTCAAGATGCAACATAATCCTTTAGATTGTATCCTGTCTCACTAACATAACTGCCTCTAACCCTGACTCATTAACTTCATAGAGGTTAAGATTTACAACACATAGGATAATTACATCAGATCACAAAATGGAGGGTAATGACATAATATTGAGAATCATGGCGTAGCCAAGGTTACACATATTTTTGAGGAACTCAATTAAATCCATAACAGGAAACCTTAAAAGAATTTCCTGAGCATGACTCTTTATTTCCCTCTGGAAATTCTTTAGAACTTTGTTGGCTCTTGCTGAAAAATACTTCTGTTGGTTCATTTGTGAGGATTGTGTTTGCCATTCCATTAATCTCATTGCTGAGGGCTGGTGAAGAAGAAAAATGTAAGTTGTATGCCTTGAGTATAGACATCCCAAAGGGGTGATGGAAGTGTTTGAATACATTACTACCCCCTTGGACAAATACATTACTACCCCCTTGGACATCTCCCAGCCCCTGACTACTAGGTACTGTTTCTCCAACATTCAATTTCTCTGCTTCTGGGTTCTCAGATGCTAAAGGTGTACAGAGACTCTGAGATGGGTGACCCTTGTTTTATTGAGCCATGGGGACCAATAGTTCTTTCCTCTCCTTACCATAAAAATATACCAGAACTACATCTTTTTGTATCTGACCTTGAGTACCGGTTACCTGGTACAGGTAACTCCAGTGCCTCTTCTCTTGCCCTCACGGTGATTCAGAAGTAGGCAACCCCTGCATGGCAGAGGAGGTGAATGTACTGCTGAGTGCAGAATTTGTGGTTGCAGTTGCTTTGAGTGATGGGTGACAACGCTGACCTCATTCACTGCATTGAACTTTGGGAGGGTGACCATGTGCTGTGCTTGAGGTGGTTTTAAAATTCTCTGTCTCTTGTTAAACATCCCAGGGCTTCCAGCAAAAGTTCTCCTTCCACAGTAAAGAGATTGTGGCTATCAGCTGTTCCTGGTGCAAGCAGGCGGTAAGTTTTAGGTTGAACTAAAGCAAGGTGGGCTCACATTTTATGTCATCACAAGAGTTGATGTCTGTAAGCAGAGGGCTATCCTAACTTAACATACTTCTCTCATGTAGGATTCTTGGAAGAAGAAAGACAACTAGAAGTGTAGAATTGTAGCATGTATGAGCTGGAAGAAACCCTGAGATAAATTATCCCCTTCATTGAAGCCTGGCATCTGAGATGGAAATCCTGCCATGCTCCTAACCCTGGACCAAAGTCCAGGGCTTCTCACTCCTAGACCACGTCTCCCCCACCCTCCACTAGGTCCTTGAGAACTCATCCTGTAGGAGGGAGCTTCTGTAAAGCCCCACATGTCCTTAGACAGCTCTTGATCACAGAAGTTATGGCAACTCTATTCTTCTGTGTTTGGTAAAGCCTAAAAATTGATTTTCTGGCCTTTATTGAAAAGTTTGCTGACGCCTGCTCTCCTGTGTCCATTTACCTACTCTTTTGAATGAACATATGAATTGAGGTCTACAGTCACCCTGTTGCACAGCAGATGCCAAAAGGCATAGGGCTGTGATGTTTCAGCTCGGTTATAGGTTTGCAGGGAGACACCTCACCCCCTTGGCACACATCTGATTTAACTAGCTACATAGTGCCACTGGGCAGGAGCCAACACATTGATATTTCTGGAGGTCAACATTTTTTGCATTTTGGCAATTCTGTGAGGTCCAGTCCAACAATTTTCCTGGTATAATTTCCAAGGCCACACAGGCCAGGGGTACCTGCTGTCACTTGCTGGGGCCTCATTGTTCTGGAAAGCTCATTTCTTGCTGTGTTACCATCCTGCCACCACATCTCTTGTTCTTGGCCTTTATGTCTCCTTTTACTTACTTGTGACGTGAATAATCTTGGTGTTTCTTTTCAGGAAGCTATTTGCAGATATAGCTAGCCTGGTCCTTGAATGAAACTTTGTAACCTCAAGGCAACAACTCCCTTGTTCTGTGGCCAGGTGGCCCTAACAGTACTCATCCTGCTGGTTTCCTTGATCTGGGGATGCCCTAACTTGGGCATAGTGTCATTGTGGCTGTAGCTGCTCCTGCCCCATGGCGCCACCACACTTCCATAAGATGGCTTATCTAGGGTGAATTAATTTGGGAGCTCACTCTCACTTCATGGAAAACATATACGCTCTCTTTTCATTAATCTATAGTCCACGCTGTAAGACTGAAACACTAAAAAGACTGAATTTTCACTTGACTGTGAACTGGCTTTGGTCAATTCCTCATCTTAGAACTTCTCACCTTAAAGAAGGTGCTTTTGCGAGAACTGGAAATACAAATGCTTTATGACAATGTAGTGATGGATTTTATCAGTACAGGTAATCCTTTTCGGCATAACTGGTAGAACAAACAAACAAGTGGCCCTTGTTTGTTTTCTGCTCGGCAGAAAGAACATTGGCTGGGAGCTGGGTTTCAGGGATTAGATCCTGACTCTACCACGTGAAGGCTGTGCAGTCTTGGACATACCACTTAGGCTCTGGTTTGCAGGTGACTCAGGTATAAATGGAAAGAGTTGAAACAGGCAGCCTCTGAGGTCCTTACCATTAGAAATGCTGTGATCATGCATTTGGGGGATAATTGAACTGCTGAAAAAAAAATCAGATTTTTAATTGAGGTATTCAAGTAACATTTCTCTGGTAGATTTAATTGTTCACAGATCACAAATAATTGGTGGCAGGGGCATTATTAATTTCTATTAACTAGTATTTCATGCTTATTTAAATAATTAGTAATTAGCCAGTGGGTCATAAAGGATCTTGCAGACATGCAGGAGGAGGACACAAACACTCTGATTTGATAGTAGGATGAGGGTGACCATAGTGCCAGTTTTCCTGAGAAAGCTCTAATTAATGCCCATTGTCCTAGCCTAGTTATCATCAGTACTATCTTTTACTCTCAAAATTGTTCCTGTAAAGGTGATAAATTATATGGCCACCTTAAGTATAGTCCAAGTAGAAGTCAGCACTGAAATTTAAAAGTCACTATGGTTAAAAACTTAAGGTATGTCATTACCGTATAAATTGGATTTTTCATGTTCATTAGAAAATACATGTCACTGTGAGTCATCATCATTTTACAGCCACACAAAAGGTGGTTGAAAATGAGATTGACCCAAGGCCATTGTGGTGGTGGAGTTGGGATCACATAAGACCCTAACACTGAGGTATTGTTAGGACCATTAGCCTACATACATGTCCTCTTAAAAACAAAAAGCACTTGCGACTTGCCAGCGATGGCAGGGCCACTGTATTTTTTAGCAGGGAGGTTTGAGTTCATGGCCCCACAGCAAATGCAGCAGAAGCTTTGCCTTTGTTCTTTGTTCTCTTGGGGAGACAGCTGGCTCCTTTCCTGGGTTTACCTGGAAGGACTACCCAGAATGAATTACACCTAGAAAAAGGAGAGGCCAGGGCTGGGGCATGGCATCTGCTTATCTTCATATCCTTGTCAACATTATCAAAATCAGCCTTGTCTGTGACCAGAGGAAGTCTAGTGAAATGAAAGTTGTGGGCCGAAGTGAGAGTTAGTAGTACCCACCCAGATTCCAGCAACTTCATGTGCATTTCCCATGAAAATGTTAGCAGGCTTGGGCCTTGACCTACTAAAATGATCTCTTGTCATCAGTCATTATAAGTTTGTAAAGTGGAATGCATTTGAAATTGAGCCTCTAAGATTCTGGGTCTGAATTCTGGGGCAGTGATGAGAAGCACATGTCCTTAGTGTGTGTGCATGTACATGTGTGTGTATGTGTTCATGTGTGTGTATGTGTCCCCATATATGTGTTTATGTGCATTTTTGTAGATGTGCATGTGGATCTGTGTATATGTGCCCATCAGTGTATATTCATATGCATTTGTGCATACGTGTGCATGCATGTGCATGCAGTATGTGTGTGCATGTGTGTACCTTCCTGTCCATGTGTGTGTGTGCGCACGTGTATATGTACACAAGTGTATCTGTGTGTGTGTTTGTCCCTTCTCACTGTAGCATTTTCCTTTGCCTGGAATTGACTGGCCTCTTTTTCTCTTCAGTTTCACAATAAGGTGACCTGCTTCATGCTGCACCACATTGAAGAACCCTGCTCCCTGGGGGCCCATGCAGCTGTTATTGTCCCGCCCACCTGGATCATTAAGGTGAAGAAGCCTCAGGTAACTGCTGGGCCCCAGCACCGCTGGGCAGGTGCAGAGAGAAGGTCCCTGCTGCTGCCTGCTTTGCCTCGACTGGTCTCTGGGTCCCCCTGCCCCACAGGCCCCCGTGCACCTTCCAGGCTCCATCCCTTAGCCCATCACCTCATGTGCTGGGCTCCCTTGTGGAACCAGCCTCCTCACGCTGATGAAACTGGAGTCGAGAGCAGCAGGGTCTCCTCCCCGTCCCCGCGCCCACCGTAGTCTTCGGTGAGAACTCTGCAGAGCTTCGGTGAGCTCGAGTGGTGATGGACTAAGTCTCCCCGATCTCCTCTCTCAGCCTGGGCACCCCCGAGAGTCAGTGTGAGGGCAGCCTTGGTTAAGAGCACCATCACTTCCAGCCTGAAGGGTGGCGTGTGGGTCATGACCTTCCTAAACACACAGAGCCTGCTCGGAGAGCCACACTGTGTCCTTCCAGCAAAGGAGCACCACCCTTTTCCTGCCTCGGAGCGCTCTGTGTTTTCTCCTCATTGGACTTTCGCCTCTGGCAAAACTCTGGGAAATCTTGGTTGGTTCTCAGCAAAGTCAAGATCCTTGTTAGAAAACGTTTCTGCTCCGCACTATGCATCCTAGACAGGAAGCTCCAAGTGATGGGAGGCAGAGTTTCAATGCTGAAGGGTGGGGGGCTGCATCTGCCCTGGGCTGCAGGTACCTTAGGAAATCTTCCTGACTGAAAGGTGTGGAGGTCCTACTTTGTGTGGTTACAAAGATGCCATGCCACTTGTTCTCATTGGCTCAGTTTTGTTTCAAACTTGGTGCATCAAGAGATAGTGTCCTGCTTTGTGTGTTTCATGTACAGTTCAGACTTTGTGATGAGCAATGTTTAGGAGTAAACTTTCCAAGGAATATATCTTGGAGGCTCCTGGGAATTCTTTTCCAGAGGCAGGTATAATACGAACATATTACAGATTGGGGAGTCTAGTCGCCTTATTTTGGGAGCTCTGGTAGTGTAGTGCCTAAGGCATTTGACTGGTCACCAGAAGGCTGATGTTTCAAACACACTATCCGCTCCTGAGAACGAAGATGGGGCAATCTACTTCCATAGTGATAGTTCCTCAGAAACCCAAGGAGGGGTTGCTATGAGTCGGATCCAACTCAACAGCAGTGAGTTTAGTGAGTTTTAGTCCCCTTATTTTACATTTACAACCAAATGCCAAGAAATGCTCAGTGAGTTGCCCAAGGTGACATGGCAAGTTAGCTGTAGTAGTGTGGTCTGCAGTTCAGGTTTACCAACTGCCAGTTTAGTCTTATGTTTAAATCTGGTCAACATTTCCACTTGGCTTTTTTTTCCTGCTAAAACTCAAATAATCTCTTCCTGGCCCTTAAATGAATTGTTCATCCAGTTAGTATGATACCTTCTAACTGGAACCCAGACTGTATCAGGAAGGCTGCCAGACACTGTCACATTGCACCATCCTGCTCTGAACACTTTATAGTCACCTTAGGTTAAGATCAGGGAGAGCTTCGTGGAGGAGGTGGGCTCTGAGTCAGCAAAAGAGAGACAGCACCAGGCATGAGAACGCCCGGGAAAGGGCACTGTGTCCAGAGTCGTGCCTGCACTGTGAGACCAGTGTGACCAAAACAGACATTTTGGGGTGAGGATGTAGGAAGGATGGGCATGAGGTGCCACAGGTCTGGCGATGGTGGGGTTTTCGTGTGTGTGAACTTTGGCCTCACATAGCTTCCTTTAAGGAAAGTAGTGTTGGAATAAAACTAGTATCTCACAAGGAAACCACTGACAAGAATGTGGGGTGGCCTAAAACAATAAAACCCAAACTCACTGCCTTTGAGTCAGATCCGACTCATAGCGACCCCTCCTTGGATTTCCGAGGTGGTATCTCTACAGAAGTAGATTGCCTCATCTTCCTTCCAAGGAGTGGCTAGTGGGTTTGAACTGCCAGCCTTCTGGTTAGTCTTCAAATGCCTTAGGCACTGTGCTACCAACGCTCCTGTAGAATGGCCTAATGGTGTGCTATTTTGGTAACTGGAGGTAGACCAGTTAGGGCAATCAGAAGACAACACCACATTAAGGGGGGATTGTTAAGTTTACTTTTCTAAACTTAAAAAAAAAAAAAAAAACAAACTTCATTCTGAAAAACTGCCAGCACACAAAGAAGCAGGGGGACAGATGGACCCCACATGGCGTCAGCTTCTCTGTCACTCTTCATCTCTCCCCTGCTCAGCGCTCTTCCCTTTTTATTAATGAAACGTTCTGCATGCAGTTGTGAGACATGGTGCAGAGGGATCCCATTATCCTCCACCCAGTTTCCTCCATGGCAACATCCTGCCAAAGCCCAGTGGCTGGCACCAGCAGCGTACAGACGTGGACACGTGCAAAATCCAGAACCTTCCATCACCACCGAGGTCCCTCATGTTCTCCTTCATTGCCTCACCATGTCCCCGCCTTGGTCAAATCTACATTTTTATAATTATGTCATTTCAAGAATTTTATGTGGAAGGTGCCCTGGTGGTTGCTAACAGAAAGGTTGCTGGTTCAAACCCTCCCAGCAGCTCCATTGTAGAAAGACCTGGTGATGGGCTGCTGTATGGAACGTGTCTGCTCTGCCCTGTAGGGTCACTGTGAGTTGGCGTCAACTCGACAACACATGACAGCAGCATCAGACGAAAGAAACCATTCTGAGGTTGCCTTTTTCACTCAGCCTGGCTGTTGCCTAGCTCTTTAAAGTGAAGAAAGGCAAAGATGTCTCCTTGAAGACTATAAGGTGTGCCTAAGCCAAGCCATGGTGTTTTTAATCACCTCACATGCATGTGAGAGATGGACAATGAACAAGGAAGACTGAAGAAGAGTTGATGCTTTTCAGTTGTGTTGGCAAAGAATGCTGAAAATACCATGGACTGCCAAAAGGCCTAACAGATCTGTCCTGGAAGAAGTGCAGCTGAATGCTCCTTGGAAGCGAGAATGGCCAGACTTTGTCTCACCTACTTTGGTCATGTTGTCAGAAGGGACCATTGCCTGAAGAAGGCTGTCATGCCTGGTGAAGTGGAGGGTCAGCAAAAAAGGGGAAGACCCTTAATGAGGTGGATGGACACAGTGGCTACAGTGCTGGGCTCAGGTATAATAAGGATTGTGGGACTTGCACAGGACCGGGCAGTGTTTCGTTCTGTTGTACATAGGGTAGCTAGGAGTGGGAGCCAACTCGATGGCATCTAACAACCCCAGCAGCTCTAGAGGGTTCACCCAGGTGATTGTGTATCTCAGTAGTGTGTCCCTTTTTATTGCTTAGTCATTTCCTTACACAAACACATCAAGGTTTAACTGTTCAGCTTTATTCGGTTGAAGGCCATCTGGCTTGTTTGAAGTTTCTCGTTATTATGCGTAGAGCTGGTGTACACTTTGTGCACAGATTTTTGTGTGAACATAAGTTTGCATTTCTCTGGGATAAGTGCCCAAGAGTACAACTGCTGGATCATAGGACAATCACAGGCTTAGATCTTTAAGAAACCGTCAAACTGTTTTGCAAAGTTCATCCCGCCAGCAATGTGTAAATGATGGGGTTTGTCCACATTGTCACCAGAACTTGCCAGTATCACTGTTTCTTCTTTAGGCCGTTCTGATAAATGTGCAGTGCTGTCTTGTTGTGGTTTTACATCTCCATTTATCTAATTGCATTTACTTAAGTTTATTTATCTAACGGCAAATGGCATTGACCATTTTTTCATCAGAACGTTCCAAGATGCTGTTATATGCAGTAGGAGGTCTGAAGGCCAGCTGGATGTGATCTGTGTCCACAAGCCTCTACTCCTAAGTCAGTGGGCAGAGTTCTTGTGGATTCTGGAAGACGGATTCAGACACATGTCAATCCCTGAGGATTCTGGAAGAGCGATTCAGACTCATGTCAATCCCTGATAAAAGAAGGGCCTTCTGCCACCTGGTCAGGGGTGCCGCTTTGGTGAGTGAGCATCTTTGGGAAGAAGGGGACAGGCAGGTTGGCCAATCAGCCATGGTCACATCTAAAAGGCAGAGATTGACAGGCGCCACCAAAGCAGAAACACAGTGGGAATGCCAAGCAGGACTGGAGCAGTTTCCATCCTGGGGTCAGGATGGTGTCGAAGGATGTGGGTGGTGTCAGGGGAAGAAGGATGAGGAAGGAGTGATGTGAGTTGATGGAACCTACAGTGAACACTTCTTGTCTGTCAGTCTGTCGTTCCATGTTGCCTTACATGTTGCCGTGAGGCTGGAGACTGTGCTGCTGGTACTGCAAATACCAGTAGGGTCACCCATGGTGGACAAGCTTAGCAGAGCTTCCAGACTAAGAAGGACTGGGAAGATGGATGAGGCCATCCCTATGTGCAAAACTGGCCTGTTCTATTATAAATGTTGTTGTTGTTGTTATGTGCCGTCGAGTCGGACCCGACTCATAGCAACCCCTCCTTGGGTTTCCGAGGCATTATCACTACAGAAGTAGATTGCCCAGCCTTCCTTCTGAGGAGTGGCTAGTGGGTTTGAACCGCCAGCCTTCTGGTTAGCAGTCAAGTGCCTTAGGCAC